TGCCCAGGATCCAGGGCCGGGCCTGAAAGCTGCACTGCTGCGGCTGCTCAGATCATCCTTTGAGTAACAAGGGCCCAGCAAATGGGAGTCCTGTCTAGACTTCAGTGTCACCGCTGTGAGACTCCAGGCTGCTTGCTCTCTGACCCTCTCTAGGCCCTCGTCTCTGTTCCTGGCCGGTGGGAGTACCCCCAAAGCATAAAAGGTGGGGGCTGTGCTAGGTAGCGCGTGTCCTTACCAGTGTAGGGTGAGGCCCAGCCTTAGGTCCTAGGAGCCTGCAGCCAGTGCCACTGGGGTAGGCAGGGCAGGGCGGGTCCTGAGCCCTTCATGAAATTTAGAAAGTGGAGGCCAGAGGTGCTGTGGCCGGGAGAGGCTACGGCTGGCGGGCGAAGCTTCCGTTCATCACGGAAATGGCCCATTTGCAATGATCGGTTGCCCAGGTGTTAATAACGTTAATGGCATAGGAAGGGTAAACTTGGCCACTCGGCTGAACAGGAGAAATATGCAGAGAGGTTCTCTGGTTTCCATAAATCAGCCGTGTGCAGTGCAGGACTTAAAATTCCAGTCAGGAGATGGGTATTCTCATAATCGGAGCTAGAGAGGTAATTTATTCTGTTTATATCTTTTTACGGCATGACAGGACTCGGGAGCCGGAGCTCGCTGCAGCCCTTCTGCATTTTAAATATTAGTCCTCAGCACAGGGGTCGGGCCAGGGGCTGGGCCCCGGCCTTGGTGCTCGGGGTCGGGGGTTGCACTTCGGAGCAGGGGTGCAGGCCTTGGGGAGTAGGCCTGGAGGGGCTGGAGCCCAAGGGGTCCACCTGCCCATTGTTGGGCAGAATGACACCACTCAGAGCAGCAGGGGACAGAAAGGTGGTCCCCCCACTTCCTGGAGCTGGGGTGCATGGCCAGAGCTTGCCAGCTGCCTTACCTGTGCCCACTGGAGGATTTTCTTCTTCCTGGAAATCTTTTATTTTTAAATAATAATCAATACAGGTGCTGGAGAGCTAGGAGGAGATGAGCAGCTGCATTAATGGGAAGGAAATGGAATCCAGTGAAGCTGATACTGGGGCAAATTAGCATTCAGTAGACAATGTCCTAAAGAATCCCTTTTCATGGCAGCCCAATTCCATCTGTCCATCCGTCCATCAGTCCATCTGTCCATCCATCCATCCATCCATCCATCCATCTGTCCATCGGTCCATTCATCTGTCCACCCACCCACCCACCCATCCATTCAGCCATCCATCCATCCATCCATCCATCCATCCATCCATCCATCCATCCATCTGTCCATCCATCCATTCATCTGTCCACCCACCCATCCATCCATCCATCCATCCATCCATCCATCCATCCGTACATACATGTAGTTACTAGTCAAATCCACTGGGCTTTGTCTCGGGCTCAGAAGGAGAAATCTTTTATTTGAAATCTGCCTCTGGCTGGCCACGGTGTCATAGGCCTGTAAAACTAGCAGTCTGGGAGGCCGAGGCAGAAGGATCACAAGTTCAAGGCCATCTCCTGGCAAGTTAGTGACTCAGTGGGGCCTGTCTTGAAGTAAAAATATAAAAATGAGCTGGGATGTCACACATTGTAAAAGTACTGGGATCCATCCCCAATACCACAAAACCAGCCACTCAACTGACCCTGGCTTTCCCAGCCATGTTCCTGAGCAGCTTGCTTTGTCCCTAGGTCCTTAGGAAGGATTGCAGTATCCCATGGCAGGGCCCCTCCTCTTTCCTCCCATCGCACGCGAGGTGGGGTTTCTTCGGCCCAGAGGCCCTGGGCCCAGCAGGCTCTTGGGAGTTGCAAGAAGCTTCTGGGGTGCACTGGAACCAAGCTGGCCTTTTCCTGTTGTCACTGTTCAACCAGCTGGAGTGCATTCGATGAGGACTGAGCCCCGGACCTCACTCTCCACCGCTCCTGAGGTCATGAGCCCATTTCACAGTAGTACAAACTGAGACTCAGGAAGGTAACCAGCCTCCAGGTCCCTAGCCTACATTATTTTATGGGGGTCTCAGAGCCTCTGCTCGGCCTCCCTCCCACAGCCACCCTCAGAGAGCTTGCGGGGTCCCATTATTTAAGCACCCCTGGTGCGCGGCCACCTATCCTGCTCTGGGCTTCTGTAGACTGAAGCTGTGGGGTTCTGCAAGGCCCCTCACCTATGTGGGGTCTGAGCAAAGACTGGTGTGTGGGCCGTGTGTGTCCCCAGGGCTGTGGGTCCCCTGTGCCCGTCGTCTGGTGTGGGCAGCACTACACATGTTCTCATGCTCCTGTCCCTGTGGCTGGTGTGTGCACATGTGTGCAACTGCGGACCTGTCACACCTTCTGCTTGCTGCTTTGGTGTGTGCATGGATCCGCATGGACAAGCGTGCACTGCATACCTCATGTCTGACTGGTGTGTGCACAGTGGGGGTACAGTGAGTGGGCCTTATGTGGGTGGGGCGGGGGTGTGGTCCTAAATGGGGGGCATCATCCTACACATTTGCCACCCCTTCCCCTCTTCCTGTGCCTCTCCTCCTCACCCCTCCCATCCTTCCTCCATCACCTCCTCTGTCAACCTGTCACGGCCTGTTTTGGGGTCACTGAGGGGTGAATCCACCTATTCCCAGCTTCCATCCTGTATGTGTCACACTCAGGCAAAAGTTCTCCACACACACCCAGGGGAAGCTGGGATGGGGTCCACCTGGGATAGTCTCCTGTGGTCACCGGAATCCATTGCAGCCAAGATGCCAAGTGTAAGACCCCCTCCTCTCCTCCCACCACGTGGACACGCATCAGGACTCTGAGCTCCCAGTCGGGAGATCTTGAGCAAATCCCTTAACCTCTGCGAGTGCCCCATGGGACAAATGATACTTTCCCTGGACCAGGGGGCAAAGATCCAGCTACAAGGGTGTTTACTCCAGCGTGGCTGCACATGGAGAAGACCTGGAACTGAACTTAAACATTCAACAATAGAATTGTCCAAAAAGAAAAAGGCAAACAAGGAGGGGACACCCGCTCAGGGGGCTGTGAGCAATGACTACAGAGGGTGACGTAGCTCTCACCGGATCAGCTCAGCTCCAGAGGCTGCAAGGCTGCGGAGGGAGGCATGGTGGGCAGCCACGCACCGTGCACAGAGCTTGCGCCCCGCTTTCCAAATGCAAAAGAAAACAGGAGGAAAAAGAGTCCAGAAGCAAAAGCACCACAGTGCTTGACATTCTGCAGGATGACATTTCTTCCTTTTGTTTGTCTGAAATTTCTATAATTTCCACAGTGAGCAAGGAGCGCCAGCCCTGATGGAAACAAATGTGGTGTAAGTAAAAGAACAGAGCAGAAAGGAAAGGAAAAGAAAGCAAAGCTGCCTTGTGTTATCTTGCTGAGGCTGCCTGGCAGGTGCCATCCCTGGCACCCTGCAGCACTGCCCCCCCCCCGCCCTTCCCACCCCTCCCCCACCATCTCCTGCTAGAAATGGGCCAAGGTGCCATGCCCTGAGCCCAAGCCCGGGAACCAGAGCTCCAGAGGTCATTTTCATTTGTTCTGTTTGCTTTTCTAACTCTGCAGAGCTGAGCTAGTGGGGAATTTAGGACCCCTCCCTTCCAGCCCCACTCATCCATGCGAGGAGACTGAGTGGGGCTGAGGGACTTGTTCTTCGGCGGTGCCCCTGGCCCTCTTTTCTGCCCCGCCTTCACCTAACCACACCAGCATGCTCTGCCTGAGAATGGAGCGCACAGCAGCCTTCTCCCCAGGGGGGACCCTTCTGTCCTAATCTAGCTTTGCAGATAACCAGCACCAGCCTGTGTCCCCGCTCCTTTTCTTTCTGCCTTTTGTTTTGTTTTGAGCACCTGGAATGACCTGGGCTATAGAGAATTGAAGCTGGAATCTCTTCCCCCTAGTAGCAAGGGTGCTCTCCCACCCTCTTTTACATTTTTTATCCTAAGAGAGGGTTTCACTAACTTGCCTACACTGGTCTCAAGCTTCGGATCCTCTTGCCTCAGCCTACCTAGTAGCTGGGATTAGATGTGTATGCCACAGTGCCTGGTTGCTAATTTTTTTTCTTTAATATACTAGATAGATCACAAATTCATGCATTCATCAAGCATTCTGAAGGCCTCCTGAGTGCTGGGCAGGCTTGTGTCCCACTAAAGCATAAGATAACTCTGTGCCTGTCTCACAGGAACTGTGAGTGGCCGGAAGGGGCCCACACTGGCAAGAGGAGAGAGCTCCATTGGGTCTCAAAGACAAAGGCAGAGAGAAGACAGATTTCACCCACTCTATCAACATAGGGCCCAGAAAAAAAGAAAATCACACAGTGCTGAGGGAAAAAAGAATTTTTTTTATTAATCTTTCTTTTTAAAAAATGTTGATTTTTTTGTTTTTCTTGTTTTTTAGATTTTTGTAGGTAAACCTCTTTCTGCCTCCCCTCCCGCACTCTGCCCACCCGCCTCTTAAAAATATAAAAATGTTCAGCCCCAGATAACTAGAGTACAATAAATAAACAGTAAACACAAAAACATACTTTATTTGTTTTCTTCTTTATACAAAATAAGGAAACTAGAAGCGTTCAACTTCCAAAAAAGTATAATATTGTACACCCTGACGGCCCAGCCTCCAGGCCCCCGGGCAGGGAAGGCGCCTGGCCCAGGGGCAGAATAGAGTGGGAAGTGTTCCAGTCCGGCCTGGACCCTGGGCTCGGAAGAAAATGCGAGTAAGAGGGAGAAGCCGGCTTCCCAGAAAAGCTGACCTTGAGCCCAAGACTGGCCACCAGGGGGCGCCAGCTCGCAGGTGGATCCTCCCCCAATTCCCTCTCCTCCATCTTCGCTTTCTGGCTGATGCTTCCCTCATCTTTTGCTTCCAATCTATTTTTTTTAGTCATTTTTTTTTTTTAAAGATGGGGAAAGCAGAGCGAGAAATAAGGTTACAAAACACCACTCGGATCGCAGAGAGGGGAAAAACATCTCCAGCCTTCCGCCCCGACCCTTAGTCCGGAGGTGGAGGTGGTGGGTGAGGGTCGGGCGCATGGCATCTCTGCACCCTCCAGAATATCGACTTTGGTCCCAAGAAATTGCTCCCGGCTGCGAGAGGGGAGCACGGGCCGGGAAAGAACGGGGTTGGGTCCCCCACACCCAGCCAAGGAGCAGCTGTCGGTTGGGTGCGGACCCGAGAGAGAACCCCTGAGGGCGCTCCCTCGCCCCCACCGAGTCCGCGTCGGGCGTTTTGGTTTGGGAGGCCGCAGGGGGCGCCCGCCTCGGCCTTACCACACGGCCGTCTCGTTGAGCTCGGGGTTGGGGTGCGACAGGGCCCCGCTGTAGGCGCCGGAGCCGCTCATGGGGAAAGGCGGGCTAGGGCCGCCACCGAACACCTCGCCGGGCATGGGGTGCAGCGCGCCGGGCAGGGGCTCAGGGCTCGGCGTGTCGGGGTGTGAGATCATGTCGGTGAAACGCGGGTTCTCAGCGGCGTGCGGCCCGGCCAGCGGCGGCTCCAGGGCGCCCAGCGGCGTTGAGCCAGGCCCGGAGGCGGCCAGGAAGCTGGAGTCGGCCGGGGACTGAGCCTGCGATGGAGGCCCGTGCGCCGCGAAGAAGTCGTAGTTGCCTCCGGCCGCGTAGTAGTCGCCCTGGTACTCTGCGGGAAGGAAGGGGAACACGGGCCGTGAGGCGCGGGGACTGAGGGGCATCCGCGGGGGCCCGGAGCGGCCTGGTTCAGGGACCAACGTCGATGCGTCTAGGGGCGCGCGGGCGGGGAGGGCGACACTGACCCGGGAGAGGGGCCTGTGCGACCCTGCAGATGGCGAGGCCAGAGCAGACCCCGAGAGAGCGGGGAGAGGACAATGGGCCGCACGGAGGGCTGAGGGCTCTGCCGGGAGAGGTGTGCAGACCACAAGGGACACACAGAAGACGAGTCCCGACTTCAAAACACAGGCTTCCAGGAAGGAGAGGTGGTGGCGTCTCCGAGGTGACGGTGGACGTGGAGACCCCGGCAGGACACGCGGTGGGCAGGGAGAGGCCGGCAGACCCAGCGTGAGCGCGGGCGAGGAGGAGCCTGCGCGCAGCGGGAGCCGCGGGAAAAAGGAGGAGAAAGGAACGTGGAGATGGGAAAGCACAGCAGAGACGCAAGAGCCGGGATCGGAGACCTAGTGAAATGGCCGAGGAGACGCGAAAAAGATGAGATTGCCGCGACAGAGACCCGCGAAAACTCCACGGTGGATGGAGTGAGAAAGGGTCTGGAGAGACAGATGGCGCAGAGACCCCAGACCGCGGGAGGACAGAGGAGTTCAGGGGTGGCCCTCTAGAGGCTCGGGGCGGGAAGCGGAGCCGTCGGACATCCGGCAGAGCGCGGAGGGGCCGCGGCGCGGAGGCCTGGACTGGGGCAGCCTGAGGCTGAGGGGCTGCGGGTTTGGGCTCTGGGCTCACGACTTGGACGCCTCGGCGCCCTCCTCCTGCCCTGCGCCCCGAGGCCCTGCGCCACGGCCTGGAAACGGGGAGCTGAGCCCCAGAAACTTGGAAGACAGAGAGTAGGACACGCCCCCCGCGGCGCTAGGGCAGAGGCTTGACCTTCGCTGCCCTGGGATGGGTTGGCAAGATACCTGCTTGGGGCATGCAGCCCTTTCGAGAAGCCGGTAACCGCTTAGGGCGCTTTCCTCGGTAAGAAACTGGGTGTACATTCTCCACAGATCTAGGGAGTGCGGGCTCCAGGTCACACGGCCAACCCCCGCCACAAATCGCTTCCGCACCACCCTCTGTTCTCTTCCCTGGCCTCTCCTTGAGGTCTGGCGGGACCAACTGATTCCCCCACGCAGGGCAGCCTCCAGGGTCCGGCAGGACACCCTTGGAGCGGTCCCTTGAAGTCCACGGCGGCGACAACGACCCGCTTTGCCCGGCGGGAAAACCAGCTCATGCTAGCGCCAGTCTCTTCCACACACCCTCTGCCCCGACTTGGCTGGGGTCTCGGTCAGGGCTGAGTTTTGCGTCCCTTTTCTTCTCCACCCCCCCCCAACTGTCTAAATGCCGGTCTGCAGGCGCGGCTTGGACTCAGTTTAGGTAACAGATAAAACGGCCCCCAATGACTTAAACAAAACACATGGATTCCATTCTCCCCAGACGTGAAGGAGAAGCTTGAGAGACGAGAATTTGGGGCCCCAAAGGGTAAGGGTTGGGGCTACCGGGGACCAAGGCGAGCCTGCAAGCCAGTGCAGGCCGAGGCTGGGCGCCGTGCGCGCCGCCTCCGCCCATATGGCGGCCGGGCCGGAGGTAATTGGAACAAACGCCGTCTGAAAGGGGCACAAAAGCCGCAGCTGGGGCTTTGTCCGCGCTCCCACGGGGAGCCGCCGGCCCCGGCGCCCGGCCCCTTTCTCGCCCGCTGCCGGTCGCCACTGCCAGGATCTCCCAGTGCGGATTAGGCGGGGCCTCTTTTCTGGGGGGCTGGGGGTTCGCCCCCCAAATTCCGGGGAAAATGGGACCGGGGGGTGCCTCCCTCCTCGCGCAGCAGGAGCGTGGGGACAGTGCACGGCAGGTTCGGTGCAAGGCTGCCAGGTCCTCCCGGAAACGTTGGTTAATTACCCGGGCGGGAAAATTCCGGCCAACGCCGCCCCACCGTCCTGCTGCTCTGGGCCTAATCTGTGGGGAAGGAGGCCAGGCTAGGCAGGGAGTGGGTGAGGGGCGGCCCAAGCCTGGACCGTCCAGGCTGAGAGTGTGAGGCTCCCTAACCTGGCTCTGTCACTACAGGGAACAATTTCCCGCGTTGGCACACCTTCTAGGGGCCCAGGTTTGGTCCCCAGAGGCAAGAGGGCAGTCACAGGTTTTCCACCCTCCCAGCTGGAGGGGTCTGCACACCTGGCCACGCCCTCTTCTTCCCCTGACTGTCCCTGAGTCCTTTGGAAGTTGGCCTCTCTCCCTGGGTTGGCAGCCCTGAGGGGGAAACGAGCCCCACGGAATGCTGCTGTTCCTTGGGGCAGGCCTTCCTGAGGACCCTCCAAATTGAGACACTCGGAAGTCAAAAGGTGGAAGTGCTTCCTTGGGCCCACTGCTCCAGGATGGTGAGCCAGGGATTCTGGGCGCTGGCAAGGGCCTAACAAATCAGGATGCTGGGCCTGGGTGCACATCCAGAGTGAGGAATATGAGGGTTGGGGAGAGAAAGGAGAACAGGGGATGACAAGGTAGAGAGCCTAAAAACCAACCACCGCACCGCCTCTTTGCCAACCCAGGCACGCAGGGTTCTGAAGATAGGAAGTGGATGTTTGGGTGCAAGGAGCCTGCACAAACCCCTGCATTACTGGAGCGGCAGATTGGGCTCAAGGCGACCTCGGCTTCAGCTCTGAGCAGCCTTGGTCGCTGGCTAAGCAGGAAGTATAGCTTTCGAAGGTAGCCTAGCAAGCAGGTAGCCTGCGGCGGTCCAAACTTCGTCAATCCCAGAACCCTGAGAATGGTTCCAGCTTTTGCTGGGTACACCAGGCGCAGGGACATGGACAGCCACAATGCTTGTCCGAGGGTAGTGGAGGGCAAGGCAGGGGCAGGGCCCTGGGACGTTTACCTTTCTGGCTGTGTCAGTGAGGCAGGGATGTGGGGGTAGGGAGTGGGATGTAGCTGTGTATGGCTGTTTCTAATCGTGCCTCTCCATGTGCATCCTCAAAGACTAAATGCAAGCGGGCATGCCCAGGTGGCATCTGTCTGTGCTTTTGTGCCCGGGGTGGATCTGCATGGGCATGATGCGTGCTCAAGTGTGTCCTTGATTGTATATGTCCATGTGAGTGGGAGAGGGTGAAACGTGGCCCAGGGTATTGGAAAGCGGGCAGAGGCTGGGTCCTCTGAGCCTTAGGCCACCTGGAGCAGCGATGGTGAGGGGAGGAGCCGCATGCCTTGGGGGCGTCTTACCTCCGTAGTAGGTGTATGGGGTGGTCCCCAACATCTCAGACTCATCCAAGCGACCGCCCAGCGGACGCATGCGCCGCGGACTTCGGAAGAAGGCATGTCTCCGCGCGCCCAGCGCGCTCAGCTGTTTCATGCGGCGCTCTTTGGACCGTCGGTTCTGAAACCATACCTGGGACAGAGGAGGGGGGCAGTGAGTTCGGGTCGGTGTGCCTCTGCGCCCCACCCGCACTGCCCCTGAGGGGTCCTAAAGCCTCTGACACATCAGGTCTTCCCCAAGGTGGTGGCCGGGCCGGATTAGGCTGGGAGGGATGGAGGGGCCCTCGGCGAACCAGCCAAGGGTGAAGGATTTCGAGGACCCGTGGGGTGACTCATAAAGACCTGGGCTTCCTGGGCCTGGGTTTGTCCGCTGCCTGACGGCTTTATAAAGGCTTCCCGCCTGGCAAGGCTCCTGCCTCAGCTCTGCAGCCAGCAGGCTGGGACCTCGCCTCTTTCTTTGCTTGGAAGACGGGAGGGAAGGAGGGGTCCTGGACCCCAGAAAGGCTTAAAACTTTCGTGGAACAAGGCGGAAGCCAGAATTCAGAGGCAAAGTGGCCCTGCCCAGAATGACACAGCCAGAGGATAGCAGGGCCCGGCGAACTCGCAGTTACTAGTTCCCCATGTTTGGCGGGGCGGGTGTCCAGCTGTCCTTGGCCTGGGGCGCGCGGCTGTGCCCTGCCAGAAGCCCGCGCCTTCTCAGGCCAGTGGACTGTAGGCTCCCGGGCCTGGCCACGGCGAGGAGGGTGTGGCGCCCCAAGCGCACCTGAATAACCCGCATGTTGAGGCCGGTCTCCTGCGCCAGCTGCTCGCGGATGTGGCGCGTGGGCTTGGGCGTGGCGGCGAAGGCGGCCTTGAGCGTCTCCAGCTGCTTGGCTTTGATGGTGGTGCGCGGGCCGCGCCGCTTGGTGCCCGAGCTCTGCTCCTCGTTTTCGTTATTGGCCGTCTCCTTGTCCGATGAGGTCGAGTTGTCGGTCTCCTTGGGGTCGTCCTGCAGCGGGTCCTGGAGGTCCGGGGACAAACTGCGGTCCGTACAGGAGGACACTGCGGGCGGACAGGTTAGGAAGGGGAGAGCGGCGTCAGCGGCGTCCGACCCCTGTCCAACTCGGTGGCCGGTTACAGCCGGTCCAGGCTTCCCCTAACGCGGCTGGGTTCCCTCCCAAACCTGCGACGGCCCCTCCCCCAGGGGCCCGGCGCCCGCCCACTCTCCCTCCAGGCGGGGACGGCCTTTGAAGCGACCCAGCTTCAACCCTCTCAGCACCCGCAGGGGAGCTGGGTTGGGGATGGGGGGGGTGTGGGCCAGCCTCGGGAGAACCGCCTTCTTGGAGAGGGGACAGTGGGGCCTACAGATGTCCCCCCCCTTTCGCCTGTTCCCTTTTCTCTTTCCTCCAAATCGCAGTTCACCTAGAAATTACCAGGACCTCAAATGACACAGAAGAATAAATCGAGCAGGTCTAAATTAGAGGGGGAGGACCCCTTGGGAAAGGCTCTTGAATTGGGGGGCACACAGGGCGCAGGAATCCGATTTGCTCTGTGGTGGGTTCCAAACCTTCTCTTTTTCCTTGCTTCAAATCCCCTCTCCTTGCCCAAGAACTTCCTGCCAGGGTATCTGGGCCATCAACCCTGAGCCTCCCTCCGACGGGACCGGGCAGGAAGGAAGCGGAGAGCGGCAGGCTGGAAGCCCGGCGACAGACGCGGGCGTACCTGAGTTGAGGCTGCCTTCTTTGAGGCTCGAGGAGCTCAGGTAGTCATCCTTACACACGAACTTGTTCTCGTCGATGACGTACAGCTCCTCGCCGGTAGACAGCTGCTTGTTGCACACCATGCAGGTGAAGCAGTTGAGGTGGAAGACTTTGCTCCGGGCTTTGCGTACCAGGTCGCTGGGTGAGATGCCTTGCGCACAGCCAGCGCACTTAGTGCCGAAGCGTCTGTGGACACAGGCGCCGTCGCTGCGAGGTGGACCCTGAGCCCAGTCCTCTCCAGCGCGCCCCCCTTGAATTCTGCCCTCAGCAGCCAGAACAGAAGAGGGACAAATGTCTGGGGCTCTTCTTGGGATGGGGACTGCCCTGCTTCTAGTGGGTTGGTTCTCACACTACTGGACTGCCTACGGGGTGAACTTCAGCACCTCTCCCCCACCCCCCAGGGCTGGAAGCCAGGCAGGTTGGGTTTGGACCACTTCTGGGCTTTTCCTCCTGCATCCTTCCTGTTTGCTGGGGCCCAGGGAGGGCCCATCTGCTTAGCTGCTGGGCCCAGCAATGGGGTGGAGAAGCCCCCAGCTCCTGGACTGGGCATGAGCAAGGAAGGAACCTTCCACCTATTCCCAGCACTAAGAAGGAGCCTTTCTGGTCTCCAGTGTGGGACCATCCAGCCAGGAGCTGTGGACAGCAGGGCCTCAGGAAGACAGGCTGTAGGAACTGGGGCTGAGCTGTACCCTATCCCCCAAACCTGGCCCTGACAGACAGTGGAAAAGTGTGAGCAGAAGGCTCCCCAATCCCTGTACAGCCAGGGCTTGGGGTCACTCCAGGTCCTGTTCCCTCCTTTGAGGTCTAATTCCTATCCTTTCTCCTTCTGGCTCAAGGAGAACCTGCCTCCCCCAGAAGGAGTGTGCAGACCCCGAAGGAGAATGCTGAGGTGCAGGTGGTAGGGGAAAGAAGAGGGCTCAGGACCCTGAGGGGACCCCACATCTCCTCACACCCATGTCTCTAAACAGGGTGAATTTGGGTGACATTGATGTAGTGAGGGCATTAGGAGCCATAAGTCACTTTTGGCCTTATCCGGCAGTGTAATTGGCCATATGCACCTTATCAAAAATCATTAGGCTCTTTGCAAGCACCACCACATTAGGGGCGCCAGGCCTCCGAGCCAGGGGTTTACACATGTAAAGGCGCGGCTGACATTTTCTCCTATTCAAATGCCCTGGTGCTGGGCCGGTGGGCTGCTTTCCTCTGCGGGGTGGATCATGCCCCCCCTTCCTGCCCTCAGCGCCCGCCCAGAATTTGCAGTGACAAAGTCGGCCCTGGGTGCCTGGTGGAAGCAGACAGGGCTAAAGTGTTGAGAGCCTCTTGGGCTTCCGGGCTGACCCTGGGCTTTCCTAGGTGGGGAAACTGAGGCTCGGGGGATGGTGTGCCCTGGCCTGCTTGACAGGCAGGAGGATTGGGGGTAGGTGACACAGTCAGGGCTAGATCTCAAAGATCTCCAAGGGTTCCCCGCCTCCGATGTGGGCTTTCAGAGGGGGAGAAAAATGTTTAAGGATCTGGGGTGAGATGCGGGAAGGGGGAGGTTCCCTCTCCCTGCACCTGGGCCCCCTCTGCAGCTGGGAAGTTTCCTTGTGTTCAGGAGGGCACCCCTAGGCTCAGGAATCCTGCTCTGGAGGAGAAACCTCCAGTTACCCTGAACTCCAGGGAAAATCTTGCCTCCTTCAGAGCAGGGCTTGAAGCTTTGGTCCGGGTTTGCAGCCGTGGCGAGCAGCCTTCCTCCCCTGCTCCACCGCCCCTCGGAGCTTCCTCAGGGTGAAGGTGAGGCCGAAAAGCATCGTCCTTCCTCCTCCGCCTGGGCTCAGGCCCTTTGCGGGTCGGAAGAGCAGAGGAGGAGAGAGGGCTACCTTAGTTCCAGCTAAGCGCTGGAGCTCAGGAGGCTGGGACGGATTTCCTGGTCTCTTCCCCGCGCCCTGGAGACGCGCGGGCAGGGCAGGCTCGCGGGCAGCAGTGCGCTCGGCCTCTTACCTGAAGAAGTCATTTTTGCAGTAGAGCTTGCCCTCGCGCGAGAAGCACTTCTCCGAGAGGTTGGTTTTGCACTCGCAACACTGGACACATTTGATGTGCCACGCGCGGTCCAACACGTTCAGCAGAAAGCGGTCGAGGATGGGCCGCTCACAACCGGCACAGTGCACCATCATAGCCGCGCGCCCCGGCGGCCCGGCCGCCTCGCCTCCCTCTGGGCCCCTGGCCCTTGGGCCTCCTGGTCCTGCCGCTGCTCTCTGCCTCTGGGCTCTGCCGCCGCCACCGCCGCCACGGGGCGAGTCCCGTCCAGAGCAAGACTCAGCTGGTCAAGTCCTCGGACGATCTCTGGCCTGGAGCTGTGCTGCCCAGAGTGGAATGGGGGGTGGCGGCATTCACAACCTCTTGCCAAGAGTCGCGCGCCACGGCGTTCGTTCTGGGCTCCCGCAGGTGTCTCCGATGGCTGCTGGCCTCTGCACTGCCGAGCGCCTTTCCCCGGTGGCGAGGCGCCGGCACTTTCCCCCACTTTCAAGCGGTCCGGATCCTCATCTTTGTCTGGCCGCCGCCTAATTCGCGCATCCTTATTCAGATTTGGTGACGTGGCGCGGCACGTAGGGGGCCCGGCGGCCAATGGGCGCGCCGTAGCCATGGCAACCTCTTAAATTTATAGCATATCTAAATTGGCTACAGCGTTGCGGTCCGGACAGAGCAAAAAAAACAAGGCATCAGTATTGTTGAGTATTAGCTTGTGCCTGGTCCGGGGGCTGAGTAAGTATTTACTTTTCAGTTTGGGGCTAGGGTGGGGGTCTGGCGATCTAGAAACCACATCTTTTCCTCTCTTCAAATATTTTGGGCCAAGGTTCCAAGGCCTAGTCAGAGAGGCACCCCCCCCCCCACTCCCTTTGCCATCCTTGGAAGTTGCAGAAGTTTCCCAACGCCCGGAGTGCGCTTGTGTCTATCTCCTCCTTCCCCGCTGGCTCCCCAAGATCGGATTTCTGCAGGCTGGTGCTTGTGGAGCCCCACGCTGGAGCGGCGACTCTGGGGTCGAGGTTTCCCAGGTCCCTAGCTTCTATTGTCATACACAGAGCCGGGGTCCAGCCAGGCCTTTCTCATGGAGAGGCTGGAGGCTTTGGTTAGTTTCACTGCCTGGCCGCAGGGCCAAGGCCCAGCCTAAGCTGGGGAGGAGGTTTCAGTGGGTCTGGCCCAAGACTCCGGAGTTTCTGGCCTGTGACTGAGCTCACCAGGCTCTGGGAAAGCAGTGGGAACGGGGGAGGTCTACCTTGGACCGGTCTGCCTGCAGCTATTGGGACAAGGCCCTTGCTGTCTCTCCTTTCCTGGCCACCCATTCCAGCTGGTCTGGGCACTATGGTGAGTGGGTTGCCCAGCCGCCGTGGTGGCGGTGCAGCAGCGGCTAGCTGTGTGGGCTCTGCTGCATTCACTTCGGGGATGGCGCCCTGTAATTTTGGCCCCTAATATGATGCAGTGGCGCAGTGGGGCAGTGCAGGAGCGCGGTTTAGGCTGGGTGCCCAGGCAGTGGGGAACTCTGGGCTGTTCACAGGTGTGCAGGGCGGGAGTGTGCAGGCCTGAAGAAGAGGGGGAGGGGCCAGGCCTTCTTTCCTGGGGCTCAGCCTGGCTACTACGCAGAATGTAAGTTGAGGAGTCTGGGACTGTGCAGCCGGGTATTTGTTCCACTGCTGGAGAAAGTGCCAATGGGCTAGGGCTTCCCAAGGGTTGGCACCAGGAACGTGGAGCATGTCTGTGCCAGGCCTTGGCTGTGGGTGTTTGTTTGGGTCTATTTACTGAGTTTCTCAGTGTATATCTGCTATCTGAAAATGCCAGTGTTTCGTTTGCTTAAAGTGTGTTAGTAATCAATCTTGTGAGTGTATTTGTGGTATGTTTATTTTTGTGTGCACATATACATGTTTACAATTGCATTCGATCCTACCACTGGTGGGTGTTTTGATTTCTGTCAGTGGGTGTATGTGTCTACCTATTCTAGATGTGTAAATATGACAATGCATAAGATTATGCACATGTGTGCTAACAGAGATGTGGAAGTGTTAAGAATCAGTGTGTGTGTGTGTGTGTGTGTGTGTGTGTGTGTGCATGCTTGAGATTGTGTGTAATTGGGCTGGGGTGGATGTGTTTGAGAGCACAGAATTTTGTAGGTCCATGTTTGTGTGCCTGCTCTGTGTGTTTGTTCAGACAGGTTTTTGTTCATGTGACTCCTGTAGGTTGGCAGAAGGAGCACATTTGCACCTTGGCCCACACTTCTAGCAGTGTTTACTTTCCTGGGATTGTGGGGAGCAAGATTTGTGGGTGCCTCTCTTGGGCCACAGATGTTTCCTTGTTCCCTGGTCTTTCTTTAGACCTAGCGCTGCCCCTCAGGCTCTGGGGCAGGGGTTCTTGCTGTGGACAGAAAGCTGATGGGTGCTGGTCTCTGAGGAGGTACTGACCCAGCAGCTGGGTCTCTGGAAGAAACGTCCCCAACTTGGGCAGTTTCTGCCAGTGGGTGCTGGTATCTGGTCCTCTAGTTTCTCAGGAGGCAGGCAAAGGGGCCCCAGGACAGGGTGGCAAGGCTGGTCAGAGCCTGTCAGAGTCCCGCTCAGCCAGGAACAAGCAGGCTGAGCTGTACCTGGCCTCCTCAGCCCAGCGAGAGCTCCTAGTGCCTGCAGTGGAATTGTTTCTGGCCCTCCTGGATGCCTGCTTGGAGCATGGATGGTGCCTGAGCTGGGACAGAGCAGAGGTGGAGAAACAAGGGCCTCTGAGGAAGGGGAGAGAGACGTGGCTCCCGCTCCTGCCAAAGGCAACAGTGCTGCCCGCTCAGCCTTTGTCTCTCCGAGGCTTTTCGATCTCCTGAGTTCTCCCAGTCTCTGTGGTCCCGTCCCCATTTCTCTCTTATGCCCAGCATCTGTTCCCTTTCTGTTTCCCCTGTCCGGGTCCCCCCTCCCTTTCTTTCTCTTTCTCTCTTTTTGTTTTTCTCTCTCTGCTTCTCTGCTGGCCCAGTGCTTCTCTTCCTGCACCTTGCAGACTTTGGGGAGCAGGGAGGAAGCTCACCCCCCCAACACTCTGGGGTCCCTGCAACTCCCCATCTGCTAGCCTCCTCTGCTCCAGTCTGGATACAGCAAGCTCCTCTCCTTCAAGCCCCCAGAAGCATCAAGGAGCCACACCAGTGTCCCCAACCTGGGGCTCTGTACCCCAGTGGGCACTGGCAGTCTGAGCACACAGCTCCATCGGGCACCCTGCTTGATCCGGCACCCTGACAAACTCTCTCCTCTCCTAGATGTGCTTAAAAGTCACAGCACAGGCAGGTCCTGGCCAGTGAGATGCCAGGAGCTGCAAGAATAAGGCAGGAGCAGCTGAGACACCCACCTGCTCGTCTCCCCTGCCTGGGGTGTGTGGTGTGGGTGCTGTGGGTCTCCTGGACCTGGGCCTGTCCTGTGGCCAGTACTGACCCTTCACCTCTCATCCTCTTACCCAGGGCCTCATTCAGCACAGCCCAGTTCCAACACCAGATACCCCTCTGCCATCCAGGCAGCCTGGAAATTTATCCACTTCACTGCCTTCCTGGGTGCCCAGCCCCAGAAGCCACCAGTAGACCAACTATTAGATACATTATCCCGCCCTACAGCGCTAACAGATGGCGACTAGGCAGTGAAATCCTCTCCTATATGTAACTAATAAACCGCTTGTGTCTTAACAGGGCAATGCATGGAGACGCAATGTCACTTATACAAGATGTTGATGGAATTTACTATATAAAACCCTTCCTCCTAGAGTAAAGAGTTTCAGCATTACAACTCGACAGACGGCGGCGGGATAAGTAAAACAGACAAAAGACAAACAAGATAATAATCTGTTTCCGATCACTTAAGCCCTGTAGAGTTAGTAATATGCGGTTTGCATATTCCCCCTTGAGTTCGGTAATTAATTACGGTCGAGGAGGTGCATACCCGCCCGGAGCGAGAGCTTGAAGGCAGGCTGAGCTGGGGCATGGGGGTGCTTTGGGGTGACTTCTGCAGCTGGGGACATGGGGCGGCAGCAGCACGAACGAGGGCTCACATGGGCCTTAGGAGGTGCCCTTTCTTCAGGCCAGAGAGCATCACTTGCAACTCCCTCCCCCTCCCAGGAAAGCTGCCTGGAGGGTTCAGAGGCCAAATAGGCGTAGGTGCTTCTCAGGCTGCGCGCAGCCCTCTGGTCCCTTCCCCAGCGCTCCTGCCCTGTGCAGGGCCAGCGGTGGCAGGCCTTTCTGGAGAAGGCGTGAGCTGGGGGCCGCCTCGAAGCGCACCCGTCGTCCTCTTCTCCCCTTAATATCTTGGGCACTGCAGCCGGCCTTCTGCCGACCTCGACCATTACTGCCCCCCTTTCCTCATCCCACCCCCATCAGTGTCCCCCCCCAGCCTGCGTGGCTTTAACATTAAACAAACGCAGCGAGCGCCTCCGAGCTGCGCTCTCGGCCGGGCCTGCGCGGCGGCGGCGTTACAAATTGTAAATTTAAATTGCTCGCCGGATTCATTACCTCCCCTCTTTGATTTCAGCCAGCCGTGAAAAATTATACTGGTGTACCACTGAGAAACTGTTTTGCCGCAAAGAGCCCGCGCCTAATCACTGGCTTTCTCCCTCCGACAAAAGTGTAATTATTTTGTTTGGGGTGTAAATATAGGCCGCGCCGCGCACACACACTCAGCGTCCCGCCGCGCCGCCGCGCCCGGCCGGCCGCGGAGAGCATGCAGCCCCGAAGAGGAGCGGGCGTGCAGGCCGGGTCCGGTCGCCGGGAGGCCGGGGTAGAAAAGCGGTTGACTCGGCGATTGAGCCCGCAGCCCGGAGCCCCAGCCTCTGCTTTCTGCAGTTTGGCTTTGCCCAAGGAGTACGGACCCGGGCTGCGCGCAGGCAGGGCGTGACGGTTGGGTCAGCACCGGCTAAGGCCCCGCATTCGCACAGGGTGCAGGAGAAACGTGGAGGGCGAAGGTGGGTGGGATGGGCGTGGGTGAGGATTCCGTGTCTCATCGGTATGGCCTGCTGGAGGACAGCCTGGATCCCAGGGAGGGAAAGCATCCTGCCTGCGTGGAACCCAAAGAGGCGGTGCATCACTGCTCTTGTCCGCGACTCTAGGACTACCGTGGGCCGTTGGGCTTGCGGAACAGCTCAGCGGGGCGCCGGCCCGCCTGTCAGTTGCACGGTGGTGCACGGCTTAATTAACGGTCTAGTTAACTGGGCAAGTCCGACCCGGGACGCTTAATCAAAAAAGGCAGGGTCCCTTCCTGTGCCTTCTCTTCTTCCGTCCTTCGCTCTTTTCTTCCTCAGCTCCGTTCTGCCTTGGGAGAGCGGCTGGGGATAAGAATTAACAATCGCATGGTCACCCTGGTTTAGCCCACTCCAGGACTTTCCCTCCAATGCCAGAGGGGGTTTGTGAGTCTAAACTCAACTCCAGCCCCTCATCTGAACTTTAGGAGGGGTGCTGGGACAGAGAAGTCAGGGCCCCACATCTCCAGGTGGGAGCAAGCGGAAGATACGTGCGGAGCCTAGAATTTAGCTCTGAAGCGTCTGGTCTGTGTGGCCCTCCAGAAGATCCCAATTGGCCAGGCCAGGGTATGAGGCCCCCTCTTCCCCCCCCCCCGGAAGCCCCCCCCCAGGAATGCACCCTTGAGGCTTTCTGGCTGCTGGGGCCAGCAGAGCTGGCTGCAGCCCCTCAAGTGAAGCCAGGCAGAGCTGTTTTGGGGCTGAGCAAGCACGGTGGGTAAGGATTCTCCGCACACT